TTATAATAATATAAAAAAAAAAAGAAAACAGGAAATCATTCCTCTAAAATCTGATTTCATTTAATATTGTATGCCGAGCTCATACAGACTTCCACTGTTTTTTATTGCTTGTAAGTCAATATGTAAAACAAGATTCGAAGTTATGTTTCCATATCAATGTTGTAAAGGAATGGAAACGCTGTACGTAGTTTTCTGATTTTTCTAGATACATGTTTTTATTTTATTAGATCGTAATGGCTCTGTGGTTATTCCTCCAATTATTCCGATCCCATCATCACCAGCCACAAGTGAAACTTCTTTTGAAAATGGTAAGTTTCTTGGTGTTAATTTAATGTTTTGTATCTATCCACCATACAATTAATTTTCCTAATTTATTTTTAATGTTTTCCTAATCTATTTATTTTTGTACAGATGATGGAAATGTTCATAGTGAAGTCAGCCCAACTAATAATAATGCTGGTAGTAGAATGGTCTATGGTAAGTAAACAAATTTTATATAGATTTTAATCCTTTTGTTTTTGTACTTTTTTTTTGAACTAAAATTGTTGAGTATTATAATTAATAGTAATTTTTAAAAAAATGAATGGAAATGCTGTACAGTTTACCTTAACAAGAATTGAGCTGCCATTAACCAAATTATAATTTTTGTTGAATTTGCCTAAATATTCCTAATCCAGATTAGCCATAAGCACATCAGAATTTTTTAAAGTAATTTAGCCAACTTGCAAAACAATTTTTCTTTACCCTTAAAAATTGGTTCTGTAGAGGATGAGCTAATTGTATTGAATTATACCAATCCGTGAAGCATTTCGTATTGATGTTAGAAAAGTAAAATTGTGCCCCTTGTTAATGCTCATTTTATATTTAGGCTTAGAAGATTGGTACGCAGCTGATGATGATGCTCTGGAATCATTTATGTCCTCCACAACTTCAGAAGGTGAGTGTGATGCAATAAAATTATTTTTTGTCTGAACCATGATGTGACTACTTGGATATTGATTTAATAAACTAACCTTTCTTTCTTTTGTTCTTGTATATCATCAAATTTAGTCTTGATATTTGTTTGGTTCTTTTATTCTTCTAGCAGAAGTAAATTCTACAGAAATTAGGTTTTAATTTTGGGAGCCGCATAACTTGTATTATGATTACTAGTGTGGTTTCAGGTAATTTAAAAAAAAATTGCTTTTAGTTTATTTTGTTTGATATAATTCATTTAGGTGAAAATGGTGATGAGGAACTTAACGTAGAAGCTGCAGAATCCCCAGAAACAAGTACAACAGTTACACAAGATAATGAGTCAACAACAGTTGCACAACAACAAAAAGGTACATGTATAATATTTCTTTCGAGTGTGTATTAATAAGTAATTTATTCGGAAGGTGCATCAAAAACCAATACATTATACAACTGAAAAATGAAAAATGTACTAACATTAATATGAAAAGCACAAAAGCATAAAAGAAACAACCAACCACAGATAATGTTAATAAAATTAAATATGTGAGATAAATAAAAGTAATTAATATTTACTTTTACAAACAGCATATACATAAATATATAGACACACACATATACAAACATATACATACAATA